CGTTTAAATAACGTTTAATACACAAGATTATTTATTTGAGCCTCGTAGTATAAATATTGGATTATATGCAAGAGGTTGAAATCCTCAACAATGAGAAAATTAATTAGTTTTTGAAACAATTCATTTTAAATCTCTAATATTTTGTTACACTGTTAAACAGTTAAACAGCAATTCTCATAGCTAGATAAGAACGTTCTAGTCCAACTGACAAATGTTCGGGCGAAGAAAATATTTTTTATATTTCAAATTTTGAAGAAAAAGAAATTTATGTAACAGCAGATCTCAGGCTTTTGTTGTCTGATATCATGTGTAATTATTGAAATTGACCTGGCAACAAAATCAATGTCAGTGCAATGTGTCATTTGATTACCAGTGAAACTGACTGCAATGCTGATGAAACGTCAAGATACATTATCTAGAATGATACAGCTTCAATCTGATAAAATTGAAAAACGAAAGATGCATTGGATTAACTGCTAAGAGATTGCAAAATGCAAATATCCTTATTGTTAATGAAAGATGAAATAATCCAACTGAAGCTTCACTTACTCAGGAAGTATGAAAGAACCTTGAAATTATCGACTACTCAGCGACATTGACACTGATTATCACTTAAAGATCGTCTAAAGCCTTCCTCTATTATTATCTAGATTATCCGACCAATTAAAACACCGTGTCTAATGAAAACCAATGTCTAAAAGAGAATCACGAACACTTTAAATATTCCCAAAATTCTTGCAATACTTATTCTAACGTGTTAAAACCTCTTCATGTATGATCTCTCAAAAATATTAATCGCACCATGTATTATCGTACCATGAAACTAGAACAAAAATTTTCTTTCTCGTCTGATTAATTGTAAATAAACTTCTATTATACGAAAGCGAAACCATAGGTGGTATAGAGAAAATCAGTGAACATCTATTACATTACTTCAGTATGTAACATATGCAGGGTGTTTCGTAACTTGTGGGACCCACATGGGGATTGTACGCCTAAAAATAATGAAAGAAAGTCATATAAATATATGTCCTATCTGTCTTCGTTTATGAAATATAATGAATTTTCTGTTTTAATTACTTTTACAAAAGATGCTCGAAATGACCACCTTGCATTTGAAGACAAGCATGCACGCGTCTTGTCATTCATCTGGTTACTCTCNTATTTGCAAAGTGTTGATTTAAAAATTGCCTAGCCACTCGGCTAAAATGCGGCGGAGCTTCATCATGCATAAACCGCATACAAAGTCTAATATCGACTGGAACTTCCTTTAATATTTCGTGTAAACGCGTGCTCAAAAAATCAACGTATTTTGTGCCTGTTAGTTTCCCATTGAGAAAAAAAGGTCCAATTAAAAATTTATCAATTATTCCTGCCCATACATTTAAACTAAACTGGTGTTGATGTCTTGAATGCACAATAACATGTGAGTTTTCTTCATCCCAATTATGATTATTATGAAAATTGAATGTATCATCCCTGGTAAAACTAGCTTACTAGAGTTTGCTCTGTTTATAAAATTCATTATATCTCATAAACGAAGACAGATAGGACATATATTTTTATGACTTTCTTTCATTATTTTAGGTACAATCAGCTCTCGAAGTGGGTCCCACACACAAGTTGAACGAAACACCCTGTATATTCTTACTATATGACAAACATAAACGTAAGAAATAATTCGAAATAAACAATTACGCAGCGAGAGATGTGTCAAATCATAGTATACGTACCAGTATCCTTCTTTCGTTCTTGAGAGGACTCAAAGGAACAAAAGGAAATAAGAAAAAAAAAAAGAAGAAAATGGAATGAAACACACAAAAAGATGAAAAAGAAAAAAAACGTCGTAAAACGCGTATTGTGAATCGTACGGTCGCGAACGTAATGAAATATTATTGCAACGCCTAGGACGACGTTAATCGATCCACCCAGTGGAGCCGATGATCTCGCGATCATCAACTTCTTTCGCAAACCGTCCATGGCAGGGGCAATTCGTTTCTCCGTGATATAGTCGCGATCGCCAACGTTAATTACAGTCGAACGTTGGTCAAGATGTATGACGCGGGCGATTAATAGCGATCCCGGACAATGCTCAATTTACGACTCGTAGGAGACAACGCTTTTAACGACATTGATACGTCGTTGCGAATATTGCTTGATGGAATGCAGCATTCGACCGTGTCTCTGTAGAATGGACACACGCTCGATAGCGTGGATTATTGTTTATGGCGATTGTCTGCGACAGACTGTGGATCAAGTTTCCCTTTTGTTCTACATCTTTCGCAGGGAAAAATAATAGAGAGTAAAATAAGCTCGATTTTTCGAAGTGAGTTGATACCTTCGAGGTATCAAGTTCCGAGATTTATTACACACATTTGAATATTCAATTCTTTGAATTTTCTCGAATTCCCGAGCCTTTCAAAATATACAGGATTTAAAATTTGTTAAATCTCCTATTTTTTAAATTCCCAAATTTCCAAATGTTTTCAAACCCTCGTGTCTTTTTAACTTTCAGACCCCCGAATCTTCGAGTTCTCGTATATATATTTAGCCATACATCGAATGGCAGAAGTATATGTCTCATTTATTAACGTAAATAGCTGTCTTTGACATCTACGCGCAAAAAGGAGGAATAGGAAGAACATTGCAATAAAGTTGTAAAACAAGTGCAAAACCTGGTGTTCGCCAGAAGAAAAGAAAAAAAGCACGAGAATATATCGGGCCGCCCCGAATCTTCGAATCCACGTTTAACGAGGGATGCTTTTTGTCGAGGCGAGCACGCCTGGTAAAGTCAAATAAAATACGAGCGATCATAGGCGTCGTATCTTGTCGGCTATAAATTCGCTTCTTCGTGTCGATTTATTGCTCTCTCTCTCTCTCTCTCTCTCTCTCTCTCTTTCTCTCTCAGTCCGTTCGAAAGTCGATCGCAACGAGCGTTCCTCCCTTCCGAAACATCGCCACCGCGAAGAAAGAGAGAAAACGAAAAAGGGAAAGTGGTTGTTTAACGCAGCAAATAAAGATAGAGAAAAAGATAAGAAACGAAGAAAAATAGAAAAATAATGAAAATATTATTAATATATAAAAACGTAGAAAGAGAGATATAGAAGTGAAAAGCAGTGATGTAGAAAAAAGGAAAATACATAAATGCATAAATACATTTATGTAGAGTCAATACGTAGAAGCAGAGAAAGTGAACGTTGAGAAAAAAAAAAAAAAAAATAGAGGGATAGAAAATAAAATAAAAACGAAGATGTAGAAATTTTAGAGAAGAATGGAAATGATAAAAGATGTAGGAAGAAAACTAAGAAGCGAGAGAGCGATCGAAAGTAGTCGATACCAGTAATGGACAGACATATACGGACGAGTCGAAGCGGATCTCGCACGTATTATACGTGGAGATAAAGAGAAAAATCTGTGACATGTAATTATGTTTCACGGCGTAGAAAGTTTGGTGAAAAGCCAAGGATTTCTCACGTTGCATCCTCAATGTATTACACACATCACGATTTATCTAATTCGTTATTTGTTTTACCAATCTTTAGAGGTGTGCGAGAACCCGAAATATCGAGTCGGGTCGGGAACACGAAATTTTTTCGGGATCGGGATGGGTATCCAAAAATTTTGAGATGCTCGAAAGAATCGGAATTCCCGAAAGAGGTTGGATTTGGGAAAGGATTGGAAACAAGCTTAAATAATTCGTTAAAGCCCACGCCTTCAACTATATCGAAAGGTCGCAGATCTAGAACCATCATTCGAGCAATTCCTTCTGTTATATCTTTTGGTTTAACAATCATTCGCGTATCATTTTGTACATGCGACAAATTTTATGTCGATTCAGTTTCTTTTCTAATACATCTACTAATGTTTGAATGCATACGCTTCAAATGGCGTAATAAACCAGTAGTGTTTGCATACCTAGTTTTAAATTCATGGTGACAATGCGTGCATTCCGCCTTTCTATCATCTTTTTCTTGAAAATGTTGCCAAACAGAGCTTCTCTTTACCTTCTTCCTTTGCACGATATCTTCTGCACTACTTCCTGCTACCACAACTTTACTCTCACTATCACTCGACATTTTTTTTTAAAGATTTTTAATCTTTATTAAATTCACACAGATTTTGAAATATACGTCTGAACTTGTTGAATGTCTCAGCGATACTGATCAACAGCGTACATAATGTCCAAGTACTAAGCGCGCAGTCACACGTTTGTATACATCAGGTCGCACGATTCTTAGAATCCGTGTTTCCAATAATTTCACTGGCAGAAGAAATTGAACTGTGTATTTACATATTTTGTAAGCTGCTATACAGTGAGCAGTTTGAGAAACGGTAGCCGAGTTCTCGAAATTTTCAGGAATCTCGACTTTTTCGGGAAACCCGATTCTTTCGGGAATCTCGAAATTTTCGGGAACCCGACTCGATTCGACTCAACCTCTTCCCGATCATTAGGTTCTCGATATTTTCGGGATATTTCAGGTTCTCGCACACCCCTACCAATCTTCTATTTGCATTATTTTACACTCAAGATATTGTCGTTCGTTTCTTCAAACGTTAGAATTTGAAAATCTAATAACAATTTCCCGAATTTCGGTTCTTTCGAATCCTCAAGTGTCCAAACTTTCAAATTTCCAAAATTTCAAAGTTTCGAAGCTCTTAAACTTCAGAATTTCAAAACTTTCGAGATCCCAAAGTTCCGAAATTCCGAGTTTCTCCTCATCTCCAGATTTCCAAATTTCCAAATTCCGAAACTTTCAGATTCGCAAATATACAAATTCTCAAATTTCCAAGTGACAAATTTTTTAGTTCTCAAATCTCTAAATCAACTCAAATATCTCTATATTTTTTTTTTTTTTTCAAGAAATTCTATATTCTAGAATGTGTCAATTTTTATATTTTCCAAGTGTTTGAATTCCAAATATCCAGATTTTCCAGACTTTTCGAAATCTTTCGAAGATTCGACAACAGTTATACTGTACGATGTACTTGGTCATACTTACTTTGCAACCCTCGCAGCTGGTCACGCCGTAGTGATAACCGCTCGCCTTGTCACCGCAAACTCTACAGGCCACGAAACTTTTCGCGGGCGTCGAACTGTTCGAATCGGCAGCCGCGTAGTGTTGTTCTGGAAAAGAAAACAGGCAGACAAATTATGCGAGTTGGTCGTCATCCGTGGAACTGGGTAAAACGTTCCAACAAACCTATCTCAATTCTCTCGCAGAAGCGAGAGAACTATGCAACTCGCGATCGCGAAGCATAAAAACAAGCTTGCGTGTCAAACTGTGTCACGATGTCACGAATTGAACGCAAACAGAAAACCAAAGCCTTGATCATCCATTATTTAAAATAATATTAGCACCAAGTCTGGTATTCATCGTTTATCAGTACAGTCAGATTAAATGTTAATGTGATGTTATTGCCAGACTGCGGATTTTAAATGCATTTTTATAGGAAACTTAATCCTTTGCACTCGACTTACGAAAGTTTGAAAAACGGTGGGTGGAGGATCAGGAACTATGTATCATTAACTCTTGCATATTATAATACTTGTTCGCGACGATTGCTTCAAATGATTCATTAGAAATACATATTAGATTGCTTTAAATTATATATTAGATATACATGTTAGAAAGATATGATCAACAAAATTTCGTGTCGAGTACCATTTGAATGATTATTTTCAATGCTATGTCATTTTATTTGAGGTGATGCTTCGTAAATAAATTACTGGCAGATGATACGAAAGAAGTTTGTCGAGGGCAAAGGGTTAAATAAGTGCAGTGCAAGACAATACGAGTAAAAATATACACGAAATAGCCAAAATGTTATAATAAAATGTCGAGCAAAAATTTGAAAGAGAAAAAATTTTTATTTAACTTTTTTTTCAATTTCTATTGTAATTGTGTTTCTAAAAATTTAAATATGCATAAAAACTTGCACTCAACTTACAATTGTGTCATCTCCTTCCTATCGTGCTATCATTTTATTTTCGTTTTACACACATGAGAAACATGAATTTCCAGAAAAATGGGGATAAGAAACATCGTGCAAATCCCGTCAACCGTTCCGTGAACATGCGAGTCTCAACGTCGAGTTTTGACGTGATCATCGCAGATCTTCCTTCTTTCTAACGACCAAAAAACGAGCATCGAGCGCGTGGATGTAACGGAATCGCGTCTGGATGGAAACGGTCACGCGTAGACAGACACGAGAGGGAAAAAGGGCGGCCGTCGTTTCTAGCCAAATGGAGTCGAACGTCGGCGAAACAGAGAGAGAGAGAGAGAGAGAGAGAGAGAGAGAGAGACAAACGTTGGAAAAGTCAGAGGTGCAAACAGAATGGGAGAGAAGACGGAGAAGCAGATTTTTAATCAAATGGAATTATTGACAAAGTGGGGACAAGCAGAGTTAAATACGAGGGGAGGAGAGAGACACAGAAGACACGATGGAACAGCGAGGAACGAAATTTTAAAATAATTCGATCGTCTCGGTGATAAAATAAAATTCCAACATTCGAGGTATTGATCGAAGTGACCGGCAGAGGCAGAGCCGCAAAAATATCGAAAATTAGACAGGCGACGGAAATAAGGATGGGGAAAGAATCAAGGATGAAGAGAGAGAGAGAGAGAGAGAGAGAGAGAGAGAGAGAGGAGAGAGCAATCGATTCTGTCAAATTTAGACGTCGAGTCGAATGTAGACAAAAATATACGGGAACAGAGGGGACCGCTGTCAAGCAACGGGAAAATAAAAGGAAGGAACAACCACAGATGGGGAGGGAAAAACGCAAGGGGGTGTTATCAACTAAATTTAGACATCAAACCGCGCAGGAAGCAAGAAACATCGAGAATCGAACGATCAAACGAGGAGGAGCAAAGATTCGGGAAAGAAGCCAACTGAAGTGAGCGAGGAACAGAGAAAGGGGGAAACTATCCATCAATTCTACCCGTGCCGAAATCGAACCGTTCGGTCGGATCGAACAAAGACACGGCGAAAGAAGACCAAAAAAAAAAAAAAAAAAAAAGAAAAAGAAAAAGAAAAGAAAGAAAAGAGAAAAAAGAGGCAGAGAAATATCTGAGCGTCCGGCCAGACGAAAAATAAGAAGAGGCTTAAGAAGCGGGGATTAAAGGAAGAGGAGGAAAACGAGGAGCAAAAGTGGACGAAGAAGCATAAAGAAGAAGGGAGGGCGGCGTAATGGTAGGGCGAACGGTGGCATGAGAGAGCCACGTTCGTCCGGGACACGGGCTGGTTCTTCCATTGGACGAGGAGCAGGCCCACGGTTGCATCCATAATGCAACGACGACCGGGGACGCCACCGAGGAAGGGAAAAGGTTGCTCCTGCTGGCGCGAGCACGCTCTGCGGTGGTTCGTGTAACGGAAAGCCCGCGTCACCGTTACAGAAAGAGCGACGGAGAGAGAGAGAGAGAGAGAGAGAAAGAGAGAGAAAAAAAGAGAGAAAGAGTACACACAGCGGGGCACACAGCCTAGGAAGAACAGCAAGAGCCAACAGGAGGCAGAACGAGCTGAACGAGACGAGCGGGGCGAGAATGGGAGAGGAGGAGGAGGAGAACGCGAAAGAAAAAGGAAGAGGAAAAAGGCGAAACGGGGCCGTCCGCAAAGGGAGCGCACAGGGAACCGTATAGGAGTAGTCCGCAACATTATATATACCGTTGGACTCTCGTGAAACCCCTGCCAGAAGACGAGTCGTTACGTGGCCAAGGAGTTAGACGGAGACGGATGGATATAGGTAGATGGATAGGAGAGAGAGAACGAGAGAGAGAGAGAGAGTGAGAGAGGTAGGATGGTGAGGAGAAGAAGCAGCGACAATGAGAAGGATAGGAGAATTACAGCGTGCAAAAGAAGAACGACAAGAGAGAGAGAGAGAGAGAGAGAGAGAGAGAAAGAGAGCAAGGGAGGAGAGCGTAGTTGATTGTAGCGTCTGGAAAACGCTAGCGGGGCCCGATCTCTCTGACTGGTACGGCCACCGATGCGATTTTATGACGGCTGCAACCGTGTTCCGCCATCGAACGGTACCGAACATCTCGTCTCCCGCCACGACCAAGATTATCGTCGAGGACTCTCGACGACGAGTGACTAGGGCGATGGCCCTAACAGAGCCGTGTTTAAATTAGTCACGGTACGGTTTAGTTGCAGTAACGCGTTCTTCAACTTAGGATTTTCTTCGTTTACAATGAAACACTGCAAGTTCCCCCTCCCTCCCACACACGACCAAAATATTATTGTAGAATCCCGTGCCTTATTATTGTATAATAAATAGCACCATAGTTAAAGCAAAAATGAGCGCTAGTTTATTATTAATGTAGCAATAAGTGCAAGTAGCAAATTTCTATCTTACGATTGCGCGTGCTCCAGGGCTGAAGTCTTTAAGCTTTTACGCGTTATGCTTTTTACGTTACATATGTAAATATTGTATATACTGGCACAAAGTAAACGCCTGTTTAATAATAAAAAAAGAAAAAGAAAACACTGCAAGTTGTTTCTCCGACGATTAATAAAGAGGACACTATCGAAATAATTTACAATGAGGGATGCTGCCAATTTCGAAATGTACGCACACGCTGTAAACGCACGTTGTATATTTTTATACAAAACGAGAGAATCGTTGGGACGATGAAATCAAACGTAACGAGCAAGTATAAATAAATTAACGAATATATATATATATATTCATGTATCGAGAGAGAAATCGGTGTGTTGCGGTTCCGCGGTGCCTATGCAATAATTCACAACGTCGTGACGTAATGCTAACATTTATGCTGCGAAAATTTGCATAGCCGTGAGGCAACAATTCACAACGTTGTAACGTGTTGTGTTAAAATTCGCGTAAAGTTGCAAAACCAAAAAATAAAAAGAAAAAAAGAAAATGAACCATCTATCTATCCGTACACTATCGAAGCTCTACTGAAACCCTCGTAAAAATTACGAATTTGGCCTTTGGTTTCTTTGCACTGTCTGGTTTTAGCTGTTTCGGTGTTAAACGATCGAAGGGACGAGGAACGCAGGCCTCGCGCGTTCGCACGCCGATACATTGTAATTTATCGCGGACGGTCTGTAATTTCCAGGGACGAAGGCGGAAGTGAACGCGCCGCGCCGCGCACGTAATGACGTGCACAGGCGGCCGCGCTCCGTGCACCGGCGAACCGAAGTTTTTCGGTGCTTCTTCATGGGAATTCGTTAAGGCGTACCGTATTAACGACGGCCTTAAACGGCCGTACCCAACTTCTTTCTTTCTTTTTTTTTTTTTTTTTATCGAGCTCGTTCCCGTCTTCGAGCACCGAGATTCATCGCGGCAATAGCGTTCCACAGCGTATGCAAATTCAGAACGCGAAACGACGCCGTCGCAACGTTGTTCACTTCACTTTCCGCCGTTTCCCCTTCGATCTTTGGCTTTTAAACTCGTCCTTTGCTGCTCGCGTGTGCCTCGAGAAGAAAGGAAGGATTCCGCTGAATTTGTTTTCCATTCGAGAGAGAAGTTGATTCAGTTTCTGGCCTATTATTCGGGGGAGTGGAGATAGATTTATTCGACGCAAAATCGTCACCACAATTAGACATTCCAGGTTCTAAGTTAAATGCGAAATTTGAATTGAATTTCTAATTTGTACGAGGACAATTGGTACAACCGTTGAATCATATTAAAACGAAGATAATATACCTAAGAAGTTACATTTCTACTTGGAGAATTCGTCGATCGAGTACGTGTTATGAATAAGTAATACACATTTGCAATTAAAAGAACTAAATTCTGCTAACTCTCAAAGACGGCAGTTTTAAATATATTCGAGGCACTTTCTTAAAATACAAGCCACTGTGCTTTGAATCTATCGGAGAACAAATTTCCAAGAGCGTACAATCGTGTTTCGAAACGGCCGAAAAAAGGCTGTATCGACTACTGCTGGAAGTACAATCGGCTATATAAACTACTGTTAAAAAAAAGTGAAATGCGGAGCGAAGAACAATACTTTTCGAAAAAACAAATCTCCCCGCTTTCCTTAGTCACGTTCATGTTAAAAATTGAAATACACATAAAACTGTGGTCGTATTTTGTTGTTGGACTGCGAATTTTTACTTGTGTACAATTTAAATCTACGAAAATCCACTAAAAACACAAAAACCTATAGAATACATGAAACACATACGATAATATGTTTACTAGATAAAGCAAACTTTTATTGAAATATCATTCTTCCATTGAGAAACGTACGTAAAAATACGAAGTTGCGTAAACATACGCGAAAATCTATGAAAGTGGATTTACAGATAAAAGGAAAAAATAAACTTCCGATGAAGTGTCATTCCCTCGTTGAAACCTACGCGTATACATAA